ATTTTATTAAAACCAACTACTTGATTGGCATATTATCCGTTAATATACAGGGTGTTAGAAATTTGACTGCCTTAATTTTAACAGACGATAGAATACATTAAAATAAACAAAAAAATCTTTTATGAGACATGTGTCCTAAACTCAACCATTTCCGACAAAAAAAAAATGATCAAAATCTCCAACTTGATGTACAAAAGTTCGATTAATTCAGGAATATGGACATAACTGCGTGCTTAGAATATCATAAAATACAATGTAACTTTTTTTAACTTCTTTATGATTAATTCTAAAAAATAATTAGTGTTGTAATAAATTTTAAATTCGATAAAATTCATATCGAGCAATGTGACAACGGCGCGGCGGATAACACGGGTACTAAGCTGTCCAGAATTACGCAAGTCAGTTGGTATCTGGAATTGGACCGTGTCTGAGTGTTTTTTGCATACTACTATTTCCTTTTCTTGAGATGTTTTCCAGCGAGTGCTCGAAAATTGGATTCGAAAGTGTCGTGCGTACATCGAAAATGGTGGAGGGCAGTTTGAGCATACGTTGTAGTTTATTTTGTACTTGTGTGTTTAAAAATTACTGAATTTTGCTTTTTGGTAAGTAGCTAAATTATTTTTACTACGTATGATTATGGACGACGTGAATCTTTGGGTACTTTAATTAGATATTTTTCAAATTCATATTTTGATTAAAAGTTAAGTTCCTGTTTTAAGAGATTCATAATTACTAAAATTCGAGCTAACATTTAAGCACGACACTATCTTCGTACTACAAAATCGATACATTTTATTTATTTAAAAACTGGAAAACGATTGTCCTGAAATTTACGTAATGTTTCACAATAGTTGTTTACATTTTTTCCGTAGGACAAGTCTGCCGCGTGCACACGTGGTATTTAGCGTTAGGTTAAGCGCTATTGTCACGATGTGATGAAACTCCCCAATATTAATACTTGCTGTATTTTGAAAACTGTTAATCTTACGCTCCTGTAATGTATAACTTTTTTGTTCATTTATGATTACTCTATCTCATACTGAAGTAATGGCAGTCAAACTTCTTACACCCTGTATCTAATGAAAATTTACTGTTTTGAGTAACCTTATGACACAAATCAGAGTATGTTCAATATAATAATAATGTATGAAATGCTTTGAAATGAAAAATTTCCTCTGAATATATGTCTTGCTATCAAGGATCTTACCATAAAATCTTTGTAATTTATAACTTGTACCGGGTGGTTTAAATTGGTTGGTTTTCAAGGGTTACTGCGAATCTGTCATAGATAGAGCAAATCTCATAGACGAGAGAATAACATCGGCGCAAACCGCATCTTTCTATTTGTTACCGTTTTCGAGCTACAGGGCGTTTGTCGATATTTGGTCCTTTCTTAAAACGGTCTGAACTTTCTAATAGATAATATTTTTAGTTTTTGTGATATGACCTTAACTTGTGTGTTTTTTTATGGAACACCCTGTATTTTACTTGAAAAATTGAGAGGGCTAAAAATCCATTCCAAAACTTATTATTTTTTCTGTAGATTTGCGGAAAGTATAAAATTTTCAAAATACCAACGACATTTAAGTTTTCTGACTGAGAAGGCTTTGAAAACAAACAAGTTTGACGTTTAACATTATTAGGAGCGTGTTTGTTTTCAAAGCCTTCGCAGTCAGAAAACTCAAACATCGTTGGTATTTTGAAAATTATATATTTTCCGCAAATCTATAAAAAAAATAATAAGCACATATTTTTGGAATGCATTTTTAGCCCTCTTTCCGCTTTTAAAATAAAATACAGGGTGTTCCAAATAAAAAACACATGTTGTGGTAATGTCAAAAAAACTAAAAATATTATGCCATTTATTTTTATGCCATCGAATATACATATCTCAAAAAAGTGCCTGTAGGATAATCAAACCGTTTTAAGATATCTCGAAAGGGAAACGAAAAAGGGACCCCAGTCGGTTTAGCCAAAAATCGAGTAACGCCCTTTAGCCTGAAAACGATAACAGATATATTAAAGTGAGATGTCGAGCGTCTCAATCCGTCCAATAGAACCAGAGATATGGTAAAACTGGTGCGCGCGGAGACGGAAAATGTAAGATATTTGCACTAAATTTGCAATAACTTTGGTTAAAATTAATCTTTTTTTAATTTTCAAAACAGTATATGTCTGTTATGAGAAAACGTAACTATTAACGCATACAAAATTGTACTAGCTATGAAAATAAACTTTTTACAGTCATTTAAACAATTAATTTGTTAATAACAATTAAACTGACCACTTTCAGGCTTTGCGACCCAGTTTTTTGGATTCAGGTCAAAATACTTAAGAATAAGTTGTTTGCAGCCGTGGCACTCTAATTGGCCACGGAACCCTATCTGGCTCCTAGACTATTTTAATGTAAAGTAAGATCACTGCTCATTAGACCAATGATACAAAAAAAATTCCCTACTATAAGTGTAAATATTTTTTATTCTATTTAGCCATAATAAAGTATTTTTTCGTAACAAGCATTATTACTATTTTTTGTACGAAACCAGTACGTAAATTCAGCTAGAAAGCGTTGTCCAGCGCAGGCCCGGCGACGATTATCCACGGTTTTCACGTAGTTTTGTTTCACGAAATGATATAACTCTGTTAAATTCGCCTTTTTCGTTCCACACGGACAAAGTTCTGCGGCCGTCTTCACTGGAGCATGGCCTGTCATCGCGGCGAGCGCTGAAACGTTCCCCACAAATCGTAACGGTTGACTCCCGTAGTTGTCACAGTCACAGACCTTCGCAGGGATTAAATCTGATTATTATTTTGGAGCACTATTGTAGGCCTGCTGGCGCTGATAGCGTGCCGGAGCAAACAAGGTCCTGAACAAACAGATGGTTTAATTTAGTGAAATCCATTCCGAATTATTCGCGAGTGCTTTCCGTGGGTCTGATGTAATTTTACGCTCAGGCGGTGCGACTGATAGAACGCGCCGCCCCCCAAGGTGGAAGGGAATAGTTCTCTCGGAAGTTCACGTCAGAGTTGTTTCTTAATCCGTCATCAAGTGGAAAGCGAAATTCTGGCAATTTTTCTAGGTGACGTCTGGATCATACGTCACGTGTCTCTAAAATAAACAATACCGTTTTGACAACAAACAGATCTGTTACTAATTTGAAGGTTTTGTGAAGGAAACTGTTATAGAAGTTCGCGAATCGTCTAATCCCAAATCATCAATATCTCAGAAATATTGAAAAATGTCTTCTCGAGATCTATCAGTTCAAAATTAACAGACAGATGTATAGGCAGGGGCCGCAGGAGAGACGATGCTCCAATACACTGGCCACCACGCTCACCTGCCTTGAATCCCTGTGATTTTTTTATTTGAGGGACCTTAAAACAGAAAGTGTACTTTTTTAATATTAGTGTGTATATAGTGAGGATAACTGAAGAAAAGTATTGATGATGCTGTTCATAATTTGCAGAATGCATTTTATTTATTTATTTTTTTTTAATATCAGTTAAATTCATAACTAAAACGTTGCTAAATTACAAGAAGTTTTGTCTCGGTAAATACCAATACATTTGTACAAAGTACTATAACAGCGCCACACAATGGGTGGACTTGATTTCAAAATAAAAGTGCAACGGATCTCAAATTTATTAAAACTTTATGGACGAATGAGTCAGTGGTTTTTAGCCGTATTGTCATTTTAAATAAATAGGTACCATACTATTCTGAAAAGTAGTAAGTCATACAATAGGGTATAGGTACTACAAACTGCATAATTACTTGAACATAATTCTAAAAATTCATACTCAATTATAAAACGTAGTGAAACCGTTAAAAATATTAACAATATTAAATTGTATATTCGAAAACAATTATTATACTTATACATTTGTTTTTATTAACAAATAAATAATATTGTTAATATTTAAAATGTAAAAAAGTACTATTCATTTATGTCTGGCTAAAAGGGTCTATTTATTCACTGTAGCTCATTACAGATCAAATTCGCATTAAAGCTAGGTAATTCCAAATATTTAAAATTTTCACCACCAAGAAAGGCGGTGACGTTTTGGCATCGCATCCTCTCATTCCTTATCACTGTCTAATAACTCACACGAAATCTGGAATCGGTAAGATAGTTTACAAGTTATGGCCTTATAAACAAATTAACTAATTATTAGTCTGGAGGATCCTGAGGATCTTCCACAATCGCACTGATTTTGTTACGGTCGATTTCATAATATTACACTGAGATCTATCATTTTTTTTTTAATTTCAAATTTGCAACCTGGATTTTTTTTTTATATTTTAGCCTTAGTTGCAAAATGAAATATACGATGCACGAGCGTGATATAGTTATATATATTATTACATATTCGGAAAGCTTATGAAAAGAGCTTTAAGTTAAAAAAAAATCGTCAAGATTCGTCGAAAAACAACGGGGTTACAGACTGTCAAAGTTGACGGCCGATTGTTAAACAAATTAGGTTGGTAGCGGCAAAAAAAATACTGTCATAACCGTAATCAAATATATTTTTTTTAATGTTAATTTTTGTTAATATTTCCGAAACAGTTGAAGATAGGTATAGGACATTGTACATGAAATAGGTCTAGAATTTTCTGAAGAAACCAAAAATTAAATAATATACAGGGTGTTGCATTTAAAATAAGGTATTGACCAGTGTTACATGACACACCCTGTATAAAAAGTTTTTGCTGAAAAAAATGCGCAACTAAAAATACCAATCGACGTGTCCGAGCGTTTTTTCGAACACGCCCCCATTTTGTTGAATTTATTCCATTTGGCTGATATACACTATATATAGTATACGCTTTGTGAACACAACCTTCACTACTGGTTCCTTCTTAACCTTAAAGATAGACTACTAAACTACGAAATGAGCCCACCTTTTGCCTCATTACCTTGACAGCCCTAGCAAGTCCACCGCTTATCCCTTTCCCACTGACAGTTTTATAAAATGTCAAATCTTTGTCAGCGAAAAGAATGAAAATCGGTGTTTCTCGCATGAGAACCGTACCTTTTCTACTACTTTTGTTGTTAGTTTCGCGATCTTTATGCGAAGAAGACGAGGCGGAAGGCGAAGGCGCTAACAAGGAGGAAGTCTCCTGTTTGAATACAGAATGTGCACCAGGAAGCGGTGGGGCACCAGGAGGTGGAGGTAAATCTCAAGATCGCAACGCCCAGGCCTCCAATATAGCTCAGAAGGCGGCGCAAGAGGCAAAAGCGGCGCAGGATGCCCAACAGCAAGCGGGCCAGCAAGCAGCGCGTCAGGTGAAAGAGCAGCTAGCCGAGAAAGCTGTGGAAGCCGCGAAGGCAGCTGAAGCCGCGTTAGCGGGGAAGGAGGTCCTAGTGGAGCAGCTCCAGGAGGAGATTAAGGAAGCGGAGATGGTGGTAAGAGCAAATTAAAACGTTTAAATAGTTTAGTTCAGAGTCTTCATATATTAGAAGTAGCATTTCATGTAAAGACATCTGTCCGACTCCTTTCTGCGAATTTATGTGCTACCAAAATGTAATTACGTGCATTTTTTCCTTTTATAAGATATATTGGAATCAAAATAGGTAAACAGGTCGATTTGCACCCTAAACGGAGTATGGCACTTTTCAGGTGAACGAAGAAGGTTCCAGCCTTCAACAGCTCCAACAAACAGCGCAATCAGCTGGCAAAGCCGCCCAGCAAGCCCAAGCGGAAGTCAAACTCCTCCAAACTACATTTCAGCTGGCCCAGGGTAACGCGGCTAACGCCCAACAGGCACTAGAAGGCGACCAGCAGCAGCTCCAAGAGAAAGAACAGATCCTGGAAGCAGCCAAGACACGGATGGACTCGCTGTCCAAACAGCTGCACGGAGCAAAGAGCGATCTCTCGAAAACTAAAGAAGCAGCCAAAAAGGCGGAGTCGGCGGCTGCGGAGGCTAAGCAGAACGCTTCGAGGAACAGGAGGAAGGTGAAGAGGAACATTAGGAAGAAAAAGTGACTTATACAATGACCTTTACATTTTTATTTTTGTAATTTATTCGCTTTTACGACTGAAGATGTGTGTACTGGAAGGTGAATATACATAGTTTAATAAAATTATACTTTTAAACATTCACCAACCTATCGTTTATTGAAAATATTGCAATTAAGTAATTAATTGGACGCAAAGACAATTGCTTTAATCGACTTAAATTAAAAGTTTTTTTCCAGTGTTTGACTGTAGGACTTATTTTTAGAGCAAATGTACTGATTGCAGAGGAATTTAATATACCTGAATATCGTTCTTCTAATAATGTCGCCTGTACTGCAGAATTTAATTAATTTTCAGAATTTACTTAATTTACATCAATATAATACTATCGTACGTAATACTTCCAACAGTACGTTTTCTTATGATAAATAACTGGTTTGATTATAATAAATAAACGACTTAGCAGCAGTAAAAAATGCTACATTTATGTGATTTATCTGTTTATCTCATGATCTTATTATATGATCTCATATCTCATTAGATGTCAAACCTATAACCGTTCAATAGTACCGATGTCCGTGATGAGCGTCATTTTTACAGACGAGGTCGCTTAATGTTGTCGTTGGACCATTACGACGGCCGAAATTGCCCCACAATTAAATATAATTTGCAATTCATGAGTGCGCAAAGTCTACATGCAATTAGAGCATTACAAGGTGAGGCAGCTGTACTTGCAGGCGGCGGTTATTTGCAAAAGCTGTTTGTTTGGAAGATACCCATGCGGGGTCAGACAGCCAATCTCGTGCTATGTGGAAAATGCCTTGAAAAGGTAAAAAGAGCGTAATTTTCTGTCACTAGTTTTTAGATTATTATTGTTTCAGGAGTTAAACAATATGTTTCTAATATTTTCCACAAAAATAATTGAAATATTTTTATCAAAAACGTTATCACATTTTTTATATCCCAAAATAATATTGAACACTTTTGTCTGCGGCTTTACAAAACACCATCGAAACTACTTTCACTGATACATAGTTTCAGCAACAACATGAAACAGATTACGTTGAACGTCCAAACTACCACAAAAACGATTAAATGCTTTATAGTTGTAAACCTATAACGAGATATATTGAACCAAATTACCTGCCAATCCAGCCTCACGTCGGGAATATATGTTTTAGAGTGATAAGCTAGCAATATTCGGCCGATATACCGTTAGTTTATTAACCTATCAACTGAGAATGATTACAACTGGATTTTATGGAAAGCTCTGATATAAATTAGATTTATGTTTGTTTCACTACAACCCATTTCACTACAAATGTTATTCAAATTAGGCAGAGAATATACATTTGGATACAATCATATCCAACAAAAAAATATACCTTATATTATTATTATTATATAAATTCATCTTCAGAAAAAAAAACTACTCAATTTTGAAAAGATATTTATATGTTCAAAAGAAATTAATGAAAAACATAAAATTAAGATTCCTCAAGATTCAGGTATTCTAAACAAGAATCAATAGTTGACAGACAAAGATATAAAACTACCTCCCAGGAAGTGGTAGTATCTAACGGAGAAAATGTAAATTGCAAAAATTCAAAGAATGTCAGAATTAAAATAAATAACAATTGGCAAAGATTTAATAACCCTTTTTGTAAATAATAGCTTTCGTATCCATTATATACAGGATGGATGCCAGTTTTGGAATTTCTGCCGTGCCTTAAAATCGGAAAGATCTAAAAAAATCTGAGCTTCATTTTCGAAAACTATAACTGAACTCTTTGAGAAAAATTTTATAAAGGGCTTGGCTGCATCGATTTTTTTGTAGCAACATCCAATGACATGGATGAGATGTTTGTATAACTTTTGGTTTTTCAATTGTTGTAACCCTGAAAATAATAACATAAGAAAGGAAAACCTCGGTAAAATTGTGTTCTATTTCCCATTCTAAATAAAGAAACATCAGCTGTACATCGTACACGAGATAATGACTTCTTTTTTGAGTATTTGAGTAATATATTACAGAACACTTATCACCACTCTCAAAATAGCGCAATAACTAAAAAATCATTTATTTGCTCATGATCTATACATTTGTATACATTTTTGGGAAAGATACTTCAAAAATTGAGGATTCTATAATACTTGTAGTCAAATATATTATTTTCAAAAACTATGCACTTTCAGCAATAGGTATCATTTTGTAAACATTTTCTTTTAGAAACTTTTTGGCTTCAATTGTGATAAATTAGTTTTTTCGATTACTTCAAAATTTCAATTAAAACGACATTTTCCATAATATATTTATATAATATTTATAAATTTACCGATGTTTAAAACTTCGAGCTTTGAATTTAGATGTACGCCTATTTCAATACAATATATTGTTTCTTGAAAAATTTACTTTATTCATAAAACAATCGTCCTTAACATTCTTTATCTTAAAAACAAAAGATAATAGCACCTTGGTCCTTAAAAATATAATCATCTTATTTTTCGGGTTTTATCATTCCCTGAATTTATGGCATTTTTTAAAAACACGCTGTAGGTACATATTTTCGATTAGAACATTTTATATCATAAAATCGGTTTAGAGATATAATTTGATAAGAAACGAACATTCAAATTTAATTATGTATGATTTAATTGAGATTTTCTCTTTTATTTTATTTAATTTTACCATTTAGTTAACACTTTTTCACCAATATACCATAATTGTTATTATTGAATTAAATCTTTTAAAGGATATAACTTTATTTGAGCAAAATTTAAATGAAAATATGAACTTCAGCAATTTTATTTTTGTTCTTATCTTTGTTCTGCACGTTCTATTTTTCGAAATTGCGGCACCTAAGGACACTAGAAATAACATTTTTTGCTATAAATACGGTGGCTTTAGCCTAATATCTGCCCCTTAAATTGATCTTAATTAAAAAACCCTCTCTTGGAAATTATACCGCTTAAGAAAAAATTGCTGAAATATTTTCCTTATTTTAACAAGCAGAATGAACCCTTGAAATTTGGCGTAATATTCCTTATACACAACTTGCGTTCATATTCTTGAAATGTCTGTGTAGAAAGCGGCAATAGATGTGACAGCTTCCTCCCAGCAATAAATAAATAACAATTTGTAAAGAATTATGGAAGTCCACAACGAATTATAATAATCTTGCCCATGCTAATCGAATTAGCGCCGCCATAAAAACGTTTTTAGCGAATACGCCTACTTACGCTGTCTTCGTACATGGTCGTAAACGCTATTAAGACATAAAATTGTTCAAATATTTTCTGTAAACACCATATTGGGATAGCGTGTCAAGGAACTCGAGAAACTGCGGGAATTCTTGCGCGTTATTTTTGGTAATAAATAATTATTTAGCGACAGGAACGGTTTCTCTCTCATTTTTTACTCGATTTTAAAAAGCAAAGCAAGAGTAACCATCTCGAAGTTTTGCTATTTCAATATAGAGGGTGATTCACAAATCGTGACCAAAAATGAAACCTCGTATTCTTTGGTGAACTTTAAGGGGAGTCTTTCTTATAAAGTTTTTATCTAGGACGCTTCGTTAAAAAGATACAGGGTGTTAGTATTCAAAAAAATATGTTTAATTTTTTTTAATAATTTAATAACTAGTAAGTGAAATAATTTGGAATTAGGCACATGTATTTATCTAAACATTGTCCAAAATCTGAGGGATTTTCCTAAAATTTGCATGCTCCAGTAGCGGAGTTACAGGGTATCGGTGGCATATTTTTCTGAATAAAATAGTACGCCACTGCTTTACGGTACAAACCATGATATTTTCGGAATCATCTTTCAATTTTCTACGAATTACTACACTTATGTTTTTTGAAAAAATCTTAATTTTCGGGTAAAACTTAAATAACGAACTGTATAATTTCAAAAAAAGATGCATTAATAGTCTGTAGATCTTTAGTACCTACAAAATAAACTCTAGTCGTCATAAATAAGGGATTTGGTTAAACTAATTAAACAATTATTTATAAGTAATAAACAATTTACATCAGTAAGTAACCTATTTTAATTATAATAAACATATTTTTCTGCTTTCAAGTGTCTAATTTGTAAATTTAATAGAATTCTTTAATATTGTCTTTCATAATAAATAAATGATGAACGGTATGGTTTCTCTCTTCTTAAACTTTACCTAATCTAAAAAATAAAGCTAGGTTCCTAAGAAAAAATAACCGACACGAAGAGTTCTGCTAATTTTAATAATTTTTTGGTCACAACAAACGAATTATTTTTAATAACAAAATCGTTTAGTTATAACAAATATATGGTTTGCTAATAATAAATAAATCATGAATTTATCTGATTTATTACCTATATGAACATTTCTTTGCTTTCAAGTGTCCAATTAATAAATGTAACAGAATTCATTCGCATTGTTTTTATCGATAAATAGTTAATAAGCAGCAAGTAAAGTTTCTCTGAGGCCAATTTTAAAAACAAAAGTTGCCTTTTAAACAAAAATTGACCAAGCAGATAATTTTGCTAATTTCAATAATTTTTTGGCCGTAACAAATAAACCAATATTTTATTATAAATAATAAGATTACTTTTAACAAATAAATGGTTCGAAAACAGTATTTAAACGATTAATTTATATGATTACGTTGTTTTTCTAATACATATATAATACTGCAGGTACTGTTTCTGTCTCATCGATTGTAAAAAGGGCCCCCTTCTAATAGGCAAAAATTACCATCTCGAAAAGTTTGTTCATTTTAAAAATCTAGTTATGATAAATAACTGAGTTGGTTGTAATAAATAAACAATTTCCTTCTAATAAATGAAAGTTTATTTATAGTAAAAAATTTTGTACCAATTAATAAATTAACAAACAATTTTTTATAATAAAGTTGATAAATTTAAATGAATTGTTCTTTTAGTGTAAACCCGTCCGACGCGCTGTGTAGGTTTTTGCGCACCTCCGAATCGAACTATTGTAATTAATATCCTCGTTCTCGCCTCTAATTAATACCTAACTAGA